CTTTCACCAAGCAGCATCTTGTTCTAATATCAGCTCCTTCATGCTACTGTGATTAGGAATGTGGAAAAATGTTTTCAGTGACAGACACGTCTTTACAGGAACAGGTTCTTGTTGAACTTGGTGCATCTTCACAACATGGTTAGTTTTTTTTTCACTTGTTTTTTTTTTTTTTCACTTCTATCTTCACTTGTATGGAAGATATGAAAAAAAAATCTTCCATACAAGATTTTTTTGTATGGAAAACAATCTTGTTTTCTATATTTTTTAATGTGTATTGGGGAAACTCATCCATTGCCTACATAGTCTTATTCTGATGTACTTCTCTCACCTGCTTCTGACTTGGGCTCCTTGTTGGACTCTCACCTCATTTGATCCACTGTATTTGGTTTTTGCAAAACCAAGGCTGAAACTAATCTAATCACAAGTCCAATTAGAATAAAATTACATCTGTTCCAATTACAGATTACAGACAACAGATCCATCTGTTGCTGAGACTATGATTGTTTTTTATGTTTTATAATATCAAAAAAATATATTTTTGTTGCCATTAAGATTGTGGTAGAATGTGACTACTCTGTTCAGAATTTCATATTTCCAAACCTAAGAAAAGAGCCTGTCCAGAGAAACGACTCTGGGTGTCTAAGGCTAAAGGAGAGATTAGACCTTTTACCATCTTTGCACAGTGAATACACTTTCAAAGTAAATCTCTTTTTATTTTTGGCAAAGTTATGTTTCCTTTGTTTTTTTCATGGAGAATTTAGAGCGAAACGAATCAGCCAAAGCCATAAAAGATCTTAAGCTGAAGATAAAACCCTCAAATTAATATGAATTATTTTGACACCAAATCGTCAGTAATTGTTTTGCAATGTTTTGTCACTTTTCTATAAGGAAATGTTAAAATTTGACAAAACGGTAAAACTGAATGTAGTATTGGATAATTTCACAGCACTGGAATATAATTCCAACTTTACCGAATTATTTAACAAGGTGCAAATAATCAGTTCAATCAGTTCAACTCAGGATCAAGCTTTATTGATTATTTCCACCAGGGGGCAGCATTACACACAGTCAAAGCTGGAGAGCCCACATTATGGTTTTAAAACAAAGAATTACTTGATTAACATCAAAACGTCCACCAGAACCTTTTCCTGAGTGGGAAAAGTTCCATTACATTTCTTTAAGGAATGACAAAACGTAAGAAATAAAATAAGAAATGACATGAAACATCGTCAGTATACCTTTGGTTATATACAACCAAACATCCAGTTTCTATTCCAGATGAGCTGCTTAAAAGACAGCATGCAGCACATTTCCTTAAAATACAAAACTAAGCCAAAATATCGAAAAATCCAGCATTAAATGTCAGAAGAACATGAACTGTGGTTTTATCTTACTCACCAGTTTGATTATTCAATCATTTACTTGTAGCTCAATGTTTTACATAATATATAACAAAAACACAAAACTGATAAACACAAAAAGACATGTGCTAACCTCAACACAAAACTGAATGAAAAATTCTCAAGCTCCACATAAGCTTTACTCAACAAAACATCTATCGCTTCTATATCCAAAAATAGCGCCCTAAGATTTGACTACCTGGTAGATTTAGATAATGAGATAAAACACTACAGCAGGCTAAACATCTCATGTTTTTAATTTGCTTTACTTTGAGCTTCACAACAAATCTTGACCAAACCAAGTCCGTCACCAACATCTGATGATCAGTTTATTCAGGTGGGCAGAAGGCCGCATAGTTATCTTTAAGTATTATGTAAAGACCTGGGTAAACTGGTTCAGTGAAGTTGTATTTAAAGGTGTGCAGGTGATGCAGAATTTTTCCCCATACAGCAAAGAAAGACACAGTACCACCAGGATAGTCCAGAAACACCCCAAACCTGTTGCATCCTTCTGGAGGATTAACAATGTAGCTCACGGTTTGGCTTTGGTCTGCCATGTACATTCCGCACAGACAACGCAAAGCATAATATTTGTGATAATGCTCAAATGATGTTTGCTTTCCAGGTTTTCCACCAATGCATGCAAGAACTACGCCAGCGTATGTGTCGCCAGCTGAGCTCCATGTGACCTCAAAGTAATGACGACCGGTCAGGCCTGCTGTGCACAGAACATAAGGAACAGAGCCATCCGGAGGATCCTTTCTCCACATCAGGCTTGCCTTCTTGTTTCCCTCAGAAAGTTGGAGAGAGTCAGTGGCTGTGTTTGGGTCCAAGGTAAGATCACAGTAGTCTGATTGACATAGGAAGACAGTTTGTTAAAGTCTGATTAGATATTTTTAGTTCATTTTAGAACAGGTTATTATGTAAATATAAATGTACCTCTGCAATAAATAATACGAGATGGCATTAGCTTAATTTAAACACATCTTTTGTTTTAGAAGAATATGAATGCTTTTCCTAAAAGTAATGTCTCATTCACAAAATCTTGGCCCAAATTAAAATCACATATTTAAACAGTGTCATGAAAATAATGTACTTACAGTATAAGAGATTTCTTCGATCTAAGTTGGCTGTGACATCAGTAATAACAGGTTTTGAGAAGTCTTCTGTTTTCAGAATGCCGTCCATGTATTGGTAGATGGTTGCTCCTTTGAATTTCTTATTTGGAAGAACTGCTACAAGGAAACGAAATTTACTGCTGCTTTTCAGGTATTTGGCAATGGTGTAGAACTCTTTGGCGTTTTTCCTCATGTTGGTTACAATCTCATTGGAGAAGAACCAGTGGTCCTTAGTGGGTGCAGTCACACTGGGTGGGGGTGCTGCCTTATCTCTGCTCAAATATTTGGTCATCTGCTCAGTGAAGGGGTCATCAGTTTCCACAGAGGTGAAAACAAAGCAGAGGGCATTTTCTACACCTGCAGCCAGAGCTTCTCTGTCCAAGTCAGACTCATCTGGGACCGTCTTGATTCCCTCCATAATGTCTGCACATGATTTGATAATGTTGATTTCTCTCTCTCCATTATCTAACCACTTATCTAAGTATTCCTCACTGAATGGAGACTTTTTGTGGTCATCAAGGAGTTTCTCTACAGACTTTTCATCTTCTTTACCTTCACGAATCAGGGGAATCTTCTTCTGCATGGTCTGTCTGAGCATTGTTGTGTAGTCATTACAGAGATCATGGAAGCGCTTAAACTTTTTATAAAGCTCTGGAAAACATTCCACCACTTTCTCATCCAGAGCCTCATTGCATCTCATTTCCATTTCTCTGATACTTTCCAGAGTGTCGGTTGCTTTTCTGACCAAACCAACAGAAAAGTCTCCCATCAGCTCTGATGCAGATGGTTCCAGATCCTTCAGAGGAGTCAGCCAGACTTTAATAGGAACTGAATTCTCTCCATTTTTTCCAAGGAGCTCTGGAAGCCTGGAGTACGTCTTGACTGCATCTTGAAAGGTTGCAGGGTTCTTGTCAAGAATTAGGTCTCCGTAGAATTTGCAGGAGAACTTATTAGTTGCAGCTTTTTCTTCATCAGTGAGCTCTACTTTAACTTTCGCCTCAAAACTAAAGCCTGGAATCTTGTTAATTGCAAGTTCTGCGCTGGTCCCGATCTTCTGAAGACTGCTTGAATCTAACTTCTCACTGTCAAACACAAAAAAGGCATTTGCTCCGTAGAGTATGCCTGTCACTACATGTGTGGCACTGAGCTTTGGATTAAAACTTTTAGCATCCAGTTCCTTCTTTTCAATGTGAGACAGAGACAGATGTTCATATGTAGTTGTGGCTTTGTACTGAAGCGTGATTCTGCTCTGGTTCTTAAATTTTTTTCTTATCATTCAGATAACTGGCAGATCCTCCAACCTCAATCAGACCACCTAGGATACTGGCTTTAAGCGACACATTCACATCCAGCAGAGAAGACTTGGATTCAAGGGTGTCGGATGCAGTAACGTGATAAGAGCTGCTGTTCTGAGCCTTAGTAGAAGTGTTCTTCTTGATTGTTTCTTTGTTGCAAAGCGAGAAACCTGTAAAATCCACAAAAACACATTAGATTAGATTAGGTTTTGCATGGAGTTTTCTCTCTGTTGGTTCTCCAGGTACTCCAGCTTCCCAATCTCCAATATGTTTGTGAAACATCAGGCAACTTATCACAAGAACTTTTCATCAACATGGACAAAGTCACCCTCACATTCAATAAGTTCTAAATAAAGACGATTTATAATACTTGTTTTTTTTACTCTTCCTAATGCATTATTTGACTTCAGTGCCTTTCATTGCTTCAACGCACCTGATTCAGCTGTTTGCAGTTCAGCAAATGTCTTTGTACCAAAGCAGAGAAACAGCTAAAACATTCAGGACAGTGGACCTTGAGGTCCAGAATTGGGAATCACAGTTTCAAACCACAGCTATCTGCTGTTTGAGTTTGTTTGAGTCCAAACAAACTGCAGAAATGAGCAGGTTTGTTCTCACCCGTTATCAGCTGATCTTTGCGAGCATCATACAGCATTCCCAAGGCAAAAGGCCGGCCGAGGGCAGCAATCTCCACCTGGTTTGAAGACATGTCTCTGATCTACGAGGACAGACAGAAACATCAGGTGGTAAAAACAGAAACAATGCCAGAACTGTGAAATAAATCTATTATGTTGTTGGATAAAATGATGACAAGCTTAATTGCAACTTCTGCAGCTCTTCAGAAACATGAGGGTTTCGCTACCCGATGAAGACGAGTTGTTCAGTTAAGTTGTGTTGAAGCTCTTTTGACTTGTCTGAGTTCTTGACTTGGGGTGTGATCTTATATCTTATAGCTCCTCCCACTGAAGTATCTGGAACACCCACGTATCCCATGTAGAACTCTCAAAGCGTTATTGAGGATCTATTCAGACGTGCCTAGTGATACAAATGGAAGTTAATGGAATATACTAACTTTCTTAATTTGTTTGACCTTACGTTTATTTTCAGGGTTTTTTTTTAACATCTTGAACTTTGTGTAGAACTCCTTTGTATAGATATTCACAACTTTTTTGTATATGTATGTTTTCAGAATGTGTAAGCATTGCTTCTGGATTATAAACTCTTTCATTTTATTCAGCTGTTGTGACATTCAGTTAGAGTTTAACTAGGTGAATCAGTCTCAGGGCAAATGTATTTTCTCCCAACACTTCTGCTCTAATGATAAACTGCGTTCTGACTTCAACACAGCTGGGAAAGCTAAAGGTCGATCTGCTCAGTGCCCTGAGATTAGCTTAGCAAGTGTTTAAAAAAACATTAAAAACTGAAGGTTTGGCGAATTTAACTGTGAAAGTTTGTTTTAATGATCCTGTCAGGAGACAGGAGAATAGTATTTGATTCCCAGGAAAACTGAAACATGCTTTTCCTAGACAATATATACAGGAATTCATTCTGGCATCAATGTTCAGCAGGAGTTTGGACTTGTTGCTCTCATAAATCAGCAGATTATTTTCACCCTGTGGTGTTTCAAAGTGTGCATGTCTTGACTGGGCAGAAGGTTGCGTTTTTTCTTAAGATTTACTCAGGGAGCGATCCAACATTATACAACCCTGCTTACATAAAGAATGTTGAACACATCTTACCATCAGGTATTCAAGAGTCTTGACTTGTCTGTGAAAATTCCTCTCACACAGAGACAGATTGTTCCACAGCAGCAGCTTCATGTGAAAATGAACATACAGACAAAGGCTATATGCCTTAATCAAAGTCTCTCACTGACTAAGGCTTCTTCCTTCACCAAAGCAATTTCAGCTATGAGTTTATTCTAAGTCACATTTATGCAGAGTTAATATTTCCAGCATTAAGTTTGTGGACCAAATTCTGATTGATGGTGATCCTTTCTTGTCTCTTCACTCCATAAAGTTGCTCTTTGGCTGATGGTCTCTGTCTGTGACTATTTCAGGAAACACTTTCCTGCACAACATCTTGGACATCAAATTATTTTATTATGGCTGTTTGCACCGTCTCAACGGGTTGATTGGTGTAAGAGTACAGAAAACTACCGTGTCTCTCCATCATGGTCCTGAGATTGAATTGTTAGTATTTTGCAGGATTAATATATTCGTCCAGATTGCTTGAAGAACGCCCTGTCCAAAGTGGGATGAAAGCACCTCTCTGTATCAGATCTGGTTTTTCCACAAAATATTAGACTGTTATCAACGTAGTCGACATTCTTTTAAGGACATCTAGACAACCTGTGGTTGAATGACAAAATGTAACTAAACGACCTGTTAGAGTCCAACTTTTTTTTTTTTGACAAACTTATGTACTATTCTCTTGAACAGTTATTTGTTTTCTCTAATTAATGATATAGTTAAACTGTGTTTTGTATACTTTTTTAAGTCGATTTTTGTCTGCTATTCTAGGATTTAATATAAATTTACAGGTTCATTCCTGATATTTGTATCAGTTGGCATGTCTGAATAGATCCTCAATATTGTTTGGTTTCTTTGTTTGTATGTGCAGTTCAATCGCTAGGATTAAGATAATTTTGGTGATATCGTTTAGACAGAATCTCGAGGCTCATCGGACATAACTCTGACTTTCAAGATAATGAGGTGTTAGGTTCTGGGCTTTAAGCCAAACTCTTACTGCAGTAAAACAGAACTAACTAAAAATAAGTCTATTGTTGCCAAAAGTTAAATGTAGTTCAGTAAATGTTTATATTGGAAATATTGATATTACTGCCTCCTAAATGTATTTTTATCTACTCTTTATTATTAATATTATGTATTGTTCTTTTATAAGACTTGGACTTATAAAATCTACCTCCTTGACGTTCTAAGGTTAGAGTTTTGCAGTAAACAGTTTTAATGATCCTCTTGGAAAGCAATCCATTATTTCTTATATAGCTATAGGAATAGCTGCTGTTATCCAGATAAAATGAGACCAGCCTTTTTAACTTGTATTAGAATTTATTTTGGTGCCGGATATTCAGGATTGTGTTTGACTTGTTGCTTTGCCCAAATAACACTAAGGTCTCATGAATTCCAGTAAGGCGCACAGCAAGAAAAGTCTATGCATGTCTCCTCCCATTTTTGATAACACATCATAAAACATGGTAAAAATGAGTAATCTATGAATGCTTGTTAATAATAAATGAATTTACTGCCTATGTTATGTTACTCCACTTTCTTATTTCCCACCATATATGAGGAAAACCTCACTGCTGGTCAGTAATTTGCTTTCTTTGACAGTCAGCGGTGAATGACTGTTAAGGAAAGAAACCGAAAGTATTTGCTGACCAAGATGCATTTCCTTTCAAAGACCACTGATACCAACGACATATTTCAGAATTAGATAACATACATTTTTTTCCTCAGGATTTCACAAGCACATGAAGTTTCCAAACAGCCTGAAAAGGAAAAAAAAAAAAAAAAAATCTGAACCAGAATTGTAACTAGTTTTTACGTTAAGTGAATCCTGGTCATAATGATCCACAAAAGTGAAAAGATTTGCACAAGACCACAAGGAGCAACAGCAAGCGGCGAGGATCAAGGCGCTTTGCTGGATTTGGTAAAAAGGTTCTAAACACCAAAGTTTCACATATTCTAACGTGGCGCAGTTTGATTGTGACAGCTGTTCTTGATGTTACACACCAGAGATGTTGAATGTTTTCTGTTCATTCTTAAAATTAGTTTGGGCCATTTAGATTTTCAATTTTCAATATTATTTGTATTAGCTTGACTCCTTAGCTAACTATTTCCAGTGCACACATTTAGTTAACTTTGTCAGTTTGCTAAAATTTTGTTATTATGCAACAGATTAATTCCTTCTTGACTTGAGTTGCCAGGCTCCTTTGGAGCTGCTGCTGGAGCGCCACACAGAGGAGCTGCTTTGTTCTCCTTAAATGGTTAGCATAACCTGAGGGGGTTGTACCATTTGTTGCCAAAGGGAGCGGAAATTATTTTATTTTTTATTTTTTATTTTTTTAGTTTTTCTTCTGTTTTTGGCAGCCAGTGCTGTCCAATAGTATTTGTTTAATTTAAAAAGTACTTATTAGTATTGGTTTGGCTAGCAGTTGTTTGGATTTTTTTTATGTTAGTTTCTTAGTTATTCACCTCTTGTATGTCAGTGGTGGTCTGATAAGCCACTATTTAAGTTTCCCTCATGTTTTATTTGTTAGGTCAGTTTTTGAGCTGTCCTTCTTATTTACGAAGAAGAAGCCCGCCACCAGCGGGGAAGATGAGTGGTGGATGTTGCCGGTGGCGATGGATTCATAGATGTATTTTTTCCACGGCTTGATGTTCAACAACTAAAGGTTCATGTCCTCAGATTACCCCAGAAAGGGTTTTAGAAACATTTAAAAACAGAAGTATCTTGTATTATTAATTTAATGGTAAAGCTTTTTCTTTTCTTTTTTTTCTCTTAATGGTCTTCAGTCAGAAGACAGAAATATAGCATTTGTGTTCTAAAACAAATGTAGATACTGTGTGTCCACTGTGTCGATACTACAAATAGATTCTGGCATCAATGTTCAATAGGAGTTTGGACTGGTTGCTCTCATAAATCAGCAGCTTATTCTCATTCAGTTGTGTTTCAAAGTGGGTGTGTGTGTTGGCTGGGCAGAGGGTTGCATGTTTTTTTTCCTCAGATTTCCTCAGGGAGTGATCTACCATCATACGGCTCCACTTGTACAAAGAACAATGAACACATCTTGTCATCAGATATTTAGGAAGAGTTTTGACTTGTCTGTGAAGATTCCTCTCACACAGAGACAGATTGTTCCACAGCAGCAGCTTCGTGTGAAAATGAACACAGATGTAGACAAAGGCTCCCATTGAGATCAGGTAAAATGGGATAAAAAGAAACATTCCTCATTCATCAGATCAGTGTTCCCTCTTGGGTCCTTAATACTCATCGTTATATCTCATAACTTTACTAATATTTTTGTTTATTGAACATCTGAACCAGTCGTCATTGACGCTATAGGGTGATAGATCTGGTACTTAGATCTTGTTATCTTCCAGAGAGTACACTCTGAAACAATCCTGGAGAACTGTAAAAACACAACAACCTCATACACAATCTAGCTTTTGTTATCTTAGATTAATTTTTAACTCCACTTTTGGCTAATTGTTACAAACATTTTTGATTGCTACGTTGCTTCCTTCTCTTTTTTTGCTTCCTTTCCATGTAGGCATATCATTTGGTCTGTTTGATGTTTTTTTTTAAGGTTTATAAAAATGTTTTAGCAATAGAGTCTCTGCCACAGATATATTTTAGACGTTTGAATTTAAATGATAGCTGACTTGCAACACTTACTCTTAAATTTGTGCAGAAAATATCACCTGCTCTTTGACTCATTTGTCAGCCAATTAAAATATGGATAAAGTGTGCTTTATCTGATCACTAGTTAAATGTTAATCAGACATTGTTCCACTAACCCACATTTTCATGAATACAATGTCACAAAGTCTAAGGTGTTTTTGGGTATGCGATGTCGACCATTTATTGGTCTGTTGGTTATAAAGGTTGCTGAGAAACCAGAGACTGACATCAGATTGCTGTAGCAGAACTCGGAGGAACATTTCCTGACAGTTCCTGACAGTTTTCATCCCTAGTATTCCTGCAGCACAACCAGGAACATGAAGGTGAGTCTACAGCTCTTGTAGGGTTGCATTGGTTATGATGTAGTTAAGGTATATTGAAACTACTTAAAGGATCACATAGCATGTTTTTATTTAATTTACTGCAAAGAAACTAGTGGGGCTTTTTTCAATATTGATGTTTATGTCAATAAAATAACCAATTAAACTGAGCCAATCCAAGAAAAGTGGTCAAAAATTCAGTTGTAAAAATACCAGAAGTTGTTGGTAGCCACATAAAAAAAGTATCACTTCTTTGAAACTAAAGGGTACTTAGTCAACGACGAGCAGATGTTAATGTACGGATAATTTTGATCTTGTGTCGACTGAAGAATATCTACAATAAGCTGTTATGGTGACAAAACACTTAGATCATTGGAATCTAATGACTTGAAGTTTTTACCCACCTCTCACAAGTGAGTCTATATCTTATATACATTTAATGAAAAGAAAAAAAAAATTATATATATATCTCATAAGTGCTTGCATAACATTTCTAATAAAAGTTGGAATCTTTTCTTCTGCAGCTGCTGTCAGCTCTCCTGCTCTTCCTGATTCCTCTATGGGTCAGCTGTGCGCCTCTTGTCCTTCCTCTGGACTGCAGTGACATCTATAACCATGATAACAGAAAACCCAGCGGAGTTTACACTATCTATCCTATTGGGGCCACTTCGGCTGTTCAGGTAGAGTAAAAGGAATATTAGAAGACATTTAAATATTTCACAACTTTAGACTGTTTTAATAGAATAAAATGTACACAAAAAAGACACAGAACAGAATTACCTCTCCTATCACAACCCAAAAAATCCTAAATCACAATTGTTGATTTGAAGTTTAAGTTTAGGTTGCTTAAACCTAGACATAATAGCTGAGTAAATCACAGCTGGAAACAGGTGTATCTTTGTCTTATGTCCTAACGAGTTTCTTGTATTACTATTGGATCAAATCTATTGTTTAATGAGTTATGGATTTCACAATCTATACTGGAATATTTAATGCATCAGTAACCCAAGGAAAAAGGGACCATAGGAAGGAACGTTACTGTCATATCTTTGATTTTCACATTGCTCTTTAAAGCAATGAGCTGAAGTGAATCTTAGGCTTTGCTTTCTATCGGTTCAATAGAGATGCAGGCTTGAGCACCTTCCTGTTTGTGTCTCTGCAGGTGTTCTGTGACATGGACTCTTTGGGAGGACGGTGGACAGTGAGTGTCTGAACTCTTCAGTTTCCTGTCATCTTCAGACAGATTGATCTTCACTGATATGACCAGTTGTTCTGCATTGAGCTTCGTTCAATGCAGAACAATCATTCTCAGTTCAATATTAGATTCAAGAACAGAATTTTCAGTTGTGTTATGGTTTGTGTGGGTTTTTTTTTTAGGTCTTCCAGAGGAGGATGGATGGCTCCGTGAACTTCTACAGGCCTTGGAATTACTACAAGGAGGGCTTTGGGATTGCTGCTGGAGAGTACTGGCTTGGTGAGACCTGAAACTGAAACAGCCATGAAGTTTAAGAAGAACTAATAAACTATTAAAATATTGGGGGGTTTTTTAGGTCTGGAAAGGCTCTTCCACTTAAGTCTCAGGAAAAAGTATGAGCTGCTGGTTGACATGGAGGATTTTGAAGGAAATAAGGCGTACGCTCGTTACTCCTCGTTCTCTGTTGGTCCAGAATCTTATGGATATACTCTGCATGTTTCTGGATTTAGTGACGGAGGTGCAGGTATGTGTTAGAGACACAGGCTCATTTATCTCTTCTCTGATAAACACAAAATAATTGTGCATAATTATCCATAATTGTACATGATTTACATGTTGTTCACATATAAAAATCTAAAAAGTTTGGTTTCCATCTACTTTGCAGAACTACCTTTCACTTTGTAAGTCTACAGACTGAGTTGTTTAAATATCCCTCTTTTCAAAAATAGCTCATTATGGAGATCATCAGAAGACATAGATTTTCAAGTTTTGAACTGGATTTTAACTGGACCATCGTAACACATCAACATGTCTTGGTTTAATTCGGCCCTGGGTTGTTTTCCTGCTGGAAGGTGAACCTCTGTTCTGATGCTGCCAAAAGCACAATTCGTGTTGATGGTTTTTTTAGGACAATGTGCCTCTGAATAAGATGTTTTGGATGTCAAGCAATAAATAAATAAATGTTTGCTGTGTCTGTTTGATGGCTTGTGGCAAGCTAAAAACAAGACTTTTTATGGCTTTATTTCAGTAAAGGTATTCTCTTTGCTACTCTTCCTGAAAGGCAAAATTTGTGTAGACAGATTCTCTTCTCTGAAGCTCCTCAATTAAGCCTCACCTTAGCTTTTTCTGTTACCTGTCTGCCACACTCCTTGGTCTTTATGATGTTTTTTTTTCTGTGTGTGTTTTGCTCACTATGTTCACCATCACATCTCTGAGGCCCTTATACTGATATTAAATGGTAAAGGTACTAAATTACATTCAATTACTAATAGAATTGACTCCAATAATTGATTTCTGAAGGCAGTTGGTTGCATTTAGTTTCATTTTAAGACATAAAACTAGAGGGTGAAGGCAAAGACTTAAGTTATTTCTGTATAATATTTAAACTGAAATGTTTCTGTGAGCTAATTTCATCTCTGTTTTTTCTGCAGGAGACTCTCTAAGTCTTCATAGTGGATTCAAATTTTCCACCTTTGACAAAGATCAGGACGGTTCTGAAGCAAATTGTGCTAGAAGATACCTGGGGGGGTTTTGGTACCAAGCGTGTCATAAGAACAATCCCAATGGGGTTTACCGCTGGGGGGCTGATGGTACCATCTACGGTGTTGGAGTGGATTGGGCCACATGGAAAGGCTACGACTATTCATTGAAAGCCATCAGCTATAAGATTCGCCCTGTTCAGTAAAATGGCAGCATAAATGTTTAGCAGTGTCATGAGTTGTGGTTTGTGGTGTTGAGAGAGAACGCTGACGACCCAGGTTGTGATGAAGATGATGAATTTAATAATGAATGTGGCTCAGGACTAACCAGTTCAACTGAGAACTATTGACTACAGACACACGAAGACAACTGACAAGGATCTAACGAAGGACAGAGACAACAGGTGGGCTTAAATACACAGGGAGTAACTAGGGGAACTAGACACACCTGGGAAACAATTAGGGAGCAGACAGGACAACACAGAGACTCACAGGGTACAGGATCACAATAAACAGAAAAAACCCAAAAATAATCAGAAAACTTAAATCCTAACAAGCAGTGCATCACATTGTTCATGGGTTTTATTATATCTGCGACCATCTCCTGTTTTTCATATTAAGATTTCTTTCTGTGGCTCTTATCTCAAAATCTGTGGGTTATTTTTATTGGGTAAACTCTTTTGCAATAGCAGCATCATCATTTTACCATCATAAAAATTATTTAGAGATCTTTAAGTCCTGACAATTTCACATCTGGTATATTCACCCTAAATTGTGCAAATGAGGTGATATACTACAAAGGAAATTATGACTCCTTGTGATGAAAGTCTAAAGTAATTATATTTTGTCAAATTAAATATGAGCTTATGTTGTTACTGAAGGCCATGATGTGCTGGCCTTCAGTCAGAAATTAATTTCAATATAAATTCGTAGCTGAAATCATCTTCCACTATTCTAAATTAAGTTTGTTTATATTATCAGAACATTTCCTTTCACTTTCTAGTCTTTTTATTCTTGGAGAGCTGAATCACAACTTCCTAATTTCAATCAATTGAAACAGTTAAAATACGCCCTATTGTCCTTGGCTTTTCAGTTTTTTATAGTTTATTTCTTTTCTTTTTCTGTTATCTGTTGTTGTGGAAGTTACCCAACAATACATTGCTTGACTTCCTTAAAATGTGCTATTGGTCAATTAAAAAATATTTTTATCTGCTGTGCTAGCTCTGTGTCGCATACTTTTTAATTAACTGAAATCGTCACAAATTCCAGTGAAGGTTAAAAGTTATTTAAACTCTGAAGCTAACTTAAGAAGAACAATTTTACGCTTCTATTTTCTGTTGTTTTTTTTTTTTGTTTTTTTTATGGGTTAAAATGAAATATAGTCTCATTGAACACAACAAAGAATGAAAATTAATTCGTTGAGAGTGAACCTTTGTGATAGTGAAAATGCTTAATGACAGGAAAGAGCCGCCTTTTATGTGAAAATATAAGAAGTTGCATGGTTTCAGCTGAGATCATGTTTCTCCTCATTGCTGCTGGAGAATGACATCTCTCTTATATTCAGGAGAAAATGTTTAATATGCTGAATTAGTCACAGTCAGTCAATCAGTCTTATAATGCTAATAATCAGGTTGTGTGTTGCACATTTAAACACTACTGAAGTTGACCAAACCGTTTTACATTTCAGCCAAATCCAAACACAATGTTTGTGAAGATTAGGTGGCTGTGTCGCTGCCTGACCAAAACACTGCTAACCTAAATAAATGGGCTTGAAAAATGTTTAGTTAATAATTAAAATTCTCTCCAACCCATATGTAGTCCTTGTATGTGAGGAATATGAAATAATATGTAAAACTGATTGAAAGAGCACAAAAATACACCTCAAAAGTTTTCATTTTGGGTTAGAGAGGATTGAAACTGTCTCAAATAAACATGTTATTGCTTTGTGACACTTGAATTCATCACCAAATTGTATTGACATGTTTTGTAGCCTTTTGTTGCTTTCTCATAAAAATAAAGCATTAAAAATGGTTCAAACCTGACTGCTTTATGAAACCAGAAGCAAATTATCAGGAGCCTCACAGAGTTCAAATCAGGACACAGCTTTATTAGTTGTTTCCAGTAGGTTGCAGTATTACACAAAGCCAAAGCAGAAGAGGCTTCGAGTAAAAACATCAACAATATCATGTTGGCGCCCATGTTGTTGCTCTGAATTAAAAAAGAAATTCAGCTAAAGACAAAGATACTTAGCAGGTTCAAATTGTCCACCAGAACATTTTCTGAGTGGCTTCATTTTGTTTAAGGAATAACAAAACTTAAAATAAAAATTAAAAAAAGGTATTGATATAGAAAGAACTTATAATATCACACACACACACACAAAATCAACATTAAATGTAGAAACATAAACAGGTTGATGTCTTATTCAGTTTTTCTTACTGGATTACTAAATCACTTTTGCTTAACATAATATTTAGATTTAATTTGTTTTACAGCTATGAATAAAACCGCAAAAAAGAAAAACAAAACTAAAGCTCCATCTACATCATTTTTCTAAATGATGTAAAGAAACAGATTGATTTAATGTTCCACCTGCCATACACTAATTTTTGACAAACTGATAGAGAATGAAGAGGCATGAGTCAGTCAGCTATTACCTCTACAAAATATGATCAGATTGTGAAGTTTAGCATACAGAGATATTTAACAGAAACAGTAAACATGGAAAAGAAAGTAAGATAAAAACAGTTTTCCTGCAGTCAAATCAGAACGATGAATGTACTCTGCCCTCTGCTGGCGGAACATTTATTAAAATCAGTGATCAGTAGATCAGTGCAGAGTATAAACACATGTTCACTAAGGATCTTTGGGTGTGTACGCATGCAATTTTACATCGTCATTACAAAGTAGACCAGGGTACATCTGCAAATTTATTGCAAGGGAGCTCAAAACCTTTTGTAAGGAAAAATAATATTCACTGTAAATTTATTGGAGAAAGGAGAGAGGTCGATATTTCAGATGAAAATATATAAAAAATTTTGCAAACATTTTTTTTAAACCTAAAAATAGAAATAAAAATAATGGTTCTTCAAAAATGACAACAAATTTCCCAGAGCTGATGTTTATCAAAAAATATAAATTCTCTTGACCAGATCTGATACACCTGTGTAAATTGCATGACTACATAAAATAATTGACCTGTCATTTTGGGCAAACTTTGGTTTGTTCCTTTTCAATTAACTTGATCAATAGGCTTTAAGAATTTACCAGAACTAAATATCGTCACCTGCCTATAATAATGGCCTAACTCTTTTTTTTTTTTTTTTTTTTGCCTAAAGTAATTTCAGTCACTGTTTGCCAATGACTGATTGTTTTTTGCAAAAATAATTTTTGACTTAGGCCATTATTTCAGACAATACATATTTACAGTGCAAATTCAGCCCTTAGTTCTGGTGGTTCAGCTAAATATGGATTTTGATAGCATCTTTATTAGCTGTGCAATTGGTTCTATCTGAAATTAACTATCAGATCTAAGAGCGGTTTGAAGCTCAGCTGTTGACCTTTGAAGTGCGAATCTGCAGATTTGTGTGGAACAACCTTCAACAGATAACAGCTGCTACGTTCAGTGCTGGGAGACTTTCTGAGCCGTAGAGCACCGCTCAGGTCAATAAACAATCACAAACTTTCTCTGCTTGGTGCTGAAGCTTCTCTGACTAAAGGTGGGTAAAAACTACCTGTGTTCCTAAATATTTTCTTTTCTTTTCTTTCTCTTCATCAGTAAATCTGTCTGTGCTTCCCAGAAATCTTCAGATCCAAGGCGGAAGACTGATTTCAGATTAGATTTAATGTTCAAAAGGAAGGTTGAATAAGACGAAATATATCTGATGCAAGGTTTCACAGAAACTATCACTTTTCCCATCTGATATTTTCTGACAAAAAAACATATTTTTTTATTTTATATTTTACCTCTTCGCCATGTTTTGCAACAATTAAAGATTACTATGCTTACGCTTATTTTCTTGATAACGTGCGACAACAGTGTTTAGATATAAATTATTCCTTAAAGTAATTTATGCTATTTGCTTTCTTTTTAAGTCCAACCACTCTTCTTTACCCGATGCAATAGTTGATACACGGCAATAAATATTTGCAAGGAAATATGAACTTTTTTCAACGTTTTATTTTTTTAAAAACTTTACCAAATTTGCAAGATAAGAAAATACAACATGCATGTTGCTTATTTCCTCCTTTTTTACTACTATTTTGTAATATGACTTCCCTACAGACTGCAGCACATTTTGATAATTAAATGAATGATCTGAAGCTACACAGCTGAATGATAATTATTTGTTTTCTCCTGCGCTGTCAGGCAGCATGGCAGCCAGGAGGTGTTCAGCTCTTCAGGTGGCGCTGATCGTTCTGCTCGTCATCATGACAGCCGTCTGTGTGGCACTGATTGTAGTGCTGACCACTGGCAAAAAAGACGCAGGTAAATACACATGAAGCTGAAACATTTATAATCTGTGTCCAGTTCGCTAAAAACAGCCAAGACATTCAGGGAATTCAACTGTGTCGTGTCGTTATGAGATTTTTTTTTAAAAACCTGACGCAGAAACATACAGGCATTAACCAGAGAAAACAAAGAAAAATTAATCAATTTAACACATTTAAAAGCCAATATTTACATTTGGCAAAAAATAAAATAATAATTAATAAATTTTCTCACTGCGTGATGCTGGTTGTTCTCTGCTGAATGTTTCAGCACGTGTATTTGTTGATTTTGAAAATCTAAACCTGACGAATTGTATAAAAATGTATCTGCAGAGTTGAATCTAACTATAAGCTTGACAATAGTCGTTTCATCTCAGTCTGTGTCTCTGTCCTCCAGCCCCAGGGCCTCAGGGCACGCCTTACCTGATTGGAGTAGGACGATCTGACTGCACCGGACCGCCAGCTGAAATCCCTCTGGTCAGTACCAAACCATACCAAATATTTAAAAGTGTTCTGTATGAAATGTTTTGCTCATATTAGTTTACAAAGTTTTGGAAGGAAAGCTTCAGAGCTGAACAAAAACCATGCTTCGGTTTCTTTCTTTACATAATAACATTTGCTTTTTAATCTCCATGTTTGGTTTTAGTTACTTTAAGGCAACATTAAGTTCAAGAAGCACATGCAATTGCTAAACATGTACTGAAAGTTTTATAGTGTTTTTTGGGAACAATTAAAATCTGGAAGTCAATTGCATCTATAGGATCACTGTCATCTACAATCAGCACACTTGCCAGTGTTTTGGTCCTCTTTTTGCTGCTGAAACAGCTCTGATTAGGTATAAACTTTTCTGGATTTCTGAAGGGCCACTGTGGTACCTGCAAATGCTTTTTAATTCCTGGAATGTGTGTGGTCACAGTGGGTCACTCTTCATTGACCACCACATATTGCTTTGATTGGACTTGAGGCCCATTCATCACCTCAAACACATTGTTTTGCTTGTCAGATCAGTCTTTTGGCAGGGAGCATTACCCTGCTGAAAGAGGTACCGCCTACCAGAGTGAAGTGTTTGACTGTGGTCTGTGATAGGCGGTCAGGAAAATTTCACGAGTTTCAGGACCAATATTTTGACCTAGAAGAAGGTCACATCCCATTTCATCTACCAATTGCATCTTCTTCAGGATGTGGTTGTTGGACGTTCAAACGATTTGCCTGATAAGATTGTCTGTCGATACCATCCCTGTTAAATCAAATTGAATACACCCCCAGTCCATTATCACAAGTCTGCTTGTGAACCAGCTTACATCAAAATCAACCCATCCCAGGTTGCGAATCTTTCATTTTAAATTAGTGCGTTTTGCTTCTGGAATCTGTTTATCACAATTATTCCGATACCTTTTCATTTTATAAAGAAATAGTTTCAGTAGTTGCTGTTGAGAACCTTTCTATTCATTGCTGGTCTTCTGGTGAGTTTTCTGATTGGTTTCAACACAACATTGGACTAAATGTCTTCGCAGTGGAATCTTTTATGGTTTCCGTTTATGTAATAAGTCCATAAAAATCATTATTTACTGGCACTTTGAAATTATAACAGAATTAAAATGTTGCACTGATAATGACGTGTTCAATCTCAGATATCCTACCGGATAAGGGCGAAGTCCTAAAAGTTAATCCCTAAACATCCTGAAATTTTCTGTCCAATCCCAGACACCACCAGCGCTGACAAAACAGAAAATCATATACAGACAATAACAGCAGAGCCTGTCTGAGGTCACAATTTCATTCAGGGTTAATTTCTCAGAGCCATTGGTTGTTGACTTCTTATCTGTTAGTTATCAGCAGTTTATCATTGAAAAACTCCTTTGGCTCTGACAGCGTTTGAATGGTCCACACATCTGAAGCAGGCAAACAACATCATAAGAAGGAAAGTCGGTAGAAGTCAGAACGCCCCTTTAACTGATTGGGTGTGTTAGACTGATATCCTTTATGGTGACGCGTCAGAAATCTTGCACGACACATGTGCTGAGATACCAGAAAACAGGAGAGGAGATGTCGGAGTGTGTTAAAGTGAAGGGGTTGGATCAGAAAGCAACCTGATAAAGACTTTCTAATCTGATTAAAAGACAGCAGACACATGTTTCAGTTTAGATGGAAGCAATCATTAAATCTCATATCCACAGTTTATTTCAGTTTTAGTTGTCATAATCCAAAAAAATTATACACTCATAAGTGTGAGATTAAACACATTTTGAGTCGTACGCTGTCTGGAACTGATTCGGGATTCTTTGGAAATTCCACATTAAAACAGTTTCCGTAACAGATTATCATATTGTATTCCCACATTATGCCACCAGGAATCAAGATACCCAAACCCCCTGTTTCACTTGCCCAATCACTGTTCCTTCCTGCAGGCACTGGGCTAAAGCATAGGAGGCTTTTGATAGCTTTTCTGCTGAGCCTGGCCAAGCCCCAGGTTTGGCCAACAGGTTCCTGCTGGTAGGCCTTTAAGCAAGTGACCTGGTCTACCCAGGTTTTATTCTCATTTGGACGGTGTTGACTAATTTTCCAAGCCATACTTCAAGATAGTTGAATCTCTTGTAGGTTAGCATTCTACTCTGAGGCTAATTTATCCTCAAGAGATCATATCAGGAGCCTGAGACAGATTCAGAACTCTACAGAAGATTGAAAACAAAACCATGAGGTTTTGGCAGTATCTTTGGATCCTCTATTCGGAGTCGGATAAGTTTGATAATAGCAGGTGAACCGTCCAAAACATTTGTGTTGCTATAGAAACAGGGAAAAACATACAGCTGAATGTTCACCTGTTATTCAACTCCACTCTTAACACTGCGCCAGAGAACATAGACTGAACTTAAAGCTCATCTTTAAGTGCACAAGCGTTGATCACCACTGCCCACAATTCTGTGAGGGTAAATGCTAGAATTATCCTCCTAACATGATGATAAGAGTACTGTCGTCCTCCCAAAACGTGTTTTTTCTGTGTATCTCAGATGGGCTATGCAAACCCTCAACAAACTGCTGCAGGAATACACACACGTCTGTACAGTCGAGCCTTCATCATCGACGACGGGAGTCGAAGAGTCGTGTTCGTCACCGCTGATGTCGGGATGGTTTCTCAGAGGCTGCGGCTGGAGGTAAACAGACACACACACCCACACACACACACACACACACACACACACACACATCTTCTACTTTGTGTACAGAGAAATGATGGACTAAATGCCTTTCACAGATTGTGTTGTTATTGTCCCCATATTGTGCATACTGTTATTTACTATGTGTGTTTTCTTCAAAATGTCTCTTCTGCTGCTGTAACGCAACAATTTCCCATAGGTAAATACCAAATGACCACTTTTATTCTGCTCCACACACATTCATAGACAAATAAACAATAAAAAAAATGACATGATTGCAAGCAAAGAGAAGGAATTGAGTGGGTTAGGTTTGTACATCTTACCTACATAAATCATATAGTGAAGGCTTATGATGCTGCTTTTACTGTCCAGATTAGTTTGAATTCACAACCTGGTTGATGTCAGGATTATAGTTCCTGTACAAATTTCTGTGTTTTCAGGTTCTTCAGGCACTGAAGGAGAAGTACGGAGACTTGTACAGACATGACAACGTAGTTCTGAGTGGGACACACACCCACTGCGGACCGGCAGGCTATTTCCAGTACACACTTTTTATGCTCACTAGTAAGGGGTACATCAAGGCAGCTGTGGAGCCTCTGGTCAACGGCATCGTTAAGGTTCGTGTGGACCAGAGAGGTCTGGTTCCTGTTACCTAAAATAATGTATTTCAGTTTTTTTGTTTTTTTTTCTGATATACAACAACAACAAAAAGACATATCATCTGTAACATCTTCATAGTTATTTAACTAATTTAAATCTTATTTCAGAGCATAGACATAGCTCACAGTAACATGAAGCCGGGCAGGATTTACAGGAATAGAGGGGAGCTGGACGACAGCAGCCTGAACAGAAGTCCTCACTCCTACATGAACAACCCAAAGGATGAAAGGAAAAGGTATGAATGGATGAAAACAGTAAAAGAGATAGAGATCAACATTTCTTGCCTTTCTCGCCTGGTTTTACGTCTTTTGTTCATCTTGTTTCATTATGACGACACTGGTCGACTGTGTTAATGGGTCTGTCTTGTTGATGTTGAGCTTTTTTTTTTTTTTTTTTTCTGTACATTCTCCAAACATTTTTGAAAAAGGTTTGGAGAATGAATGTACTTTATTTTTATTCACATATCAAATTGACCATTAGGTGTTTTAAATTGTTAGCACATGTTAGGTTAAATCATTGGATGAGACCCAGGATATTTAGGGTTAGGACATCCGTCTGCACCAATAAAGAGATGTATCCAGATATTAATGAGTACTAACTTTTCAGGTACAAGTCGAACACAGACAAAGACGTGTTGGTGCTGAAGTTCACAGATCTGGATGGCGACGGGATTGGTATGATTAGGTAAAGATGTTTTTTTTTTTTTAATTTAGAAGAGCAAATGCATAATTATGTTTCCTTCTAAAGAAAGTTTATCTTCAGTTTTAATATTATGTAAATTATTGATGAGTAAATTCATTTTGGATTATCAACCAGGGTTATTGCACTCTTTTGTTTTGACAACAGCCTGAACTGTTACAGATCATTTTTGCACCATAGAAACTGAAGGGGACCTCATAAACTTTTAGGTTTTTATAGGACTTCTGTCTTTTAGAATCGACCACAAACTAGCATCCAACTTGTGTCTCTGAACGTATATGTCAGATTTTCATATTCTCCATTAGAATCATTCACAAATAAACCTTTCTAAACTTCATCAGTTTAAATTTGATTTCACGTTCCACTCAACCAACCAGCTTTCTGCAGAGTAAAAATTTCAAATATTTTTCTGTTAATATCTGTTAAGAAAAATATTGTAAAACAGTTTAAAGTTGAATATTTGCATGTAGATAACAGTTAATTGTGACCTCTCCTAACTTGAAGCTTCTGTGTCCCCAGCTGGTTTGCTGTGCATGCTGTCAGCATGAACTACACCAATCGCATGGTGAGCAGCGATAACATGGGCTATGCTTCCTACCTGCTGGAGGAGGACAAGAACCCTGGAGAGCTGCCTGGACAGGTGCAGGACACACTCATTACTTTGTAATAAATTTATAAGGGACATTCAAAGACAAGCCCCACTGGTCGGTTTTTCCCCACTGGTTGATTTTACTGATGAGTTGAGCCTCTGTTTGTAACTATTCAACAAGCAGCACATCTGTTCAGACTGGCATTTGAGTCTATTGCATCTCTCCTAACTTGCCTGTTACTTTATTTCAAATAGTCTATTTTCGTGGAAGTTTACACTGCAGCTCTTGTACTTGTATGTTTTTAGGGAAGTTTTGTCGCGGGTTTCTCCTCCAGTAACCTTGGCGACGTCACTCCAAACACCAGAGGACCTTATTGTGTGAACACCGGGCTACCCTGTGACTATCTCAACAGTTCCTGCCCAGTTGGCGGGGTAAAAAAATACACACCGTATAAAAATACACACAACTGCCATCTTTAAAAGCTGAGCACTAAGTGCGTCTCTTTCAGACTAAAATGTGTCAGGCATTCGGGCCAGGAAAAGACATGTTTGACAGCACAAGGATCATTGGACACAACATCTACTTAAAGGCCAAGGTATATTACAAGGTTTTTGTGAAAGCAGAAGCTCACGTTCAAAGTGTTCTTCTACAAAAAAAAAAGTGTCTGATGGTGTGCTGCTGCCCCCTGCAGGAATTGTATGCGAATGCAGTGGAAGAGGTCACAGGTCCAGTTCGGTTTGCTCATCAGTGGGTCAACATGACGGCCGTGACTGTCAAGATCAACGACACGCACACGGTCAGGAGACACGCAGAAAACATATTTAGAATGATCATAATTATTAAATAAAGTTTAGGACCTGATGTATTTATTTTGTACATGTTTTTTTTAATACAACTCAAGCACCCTTTGCATTCAGATTTGTTAAAATATTATATTTGAATTTGTAATTAATTTTTTTTTATTAGATAGACTTTTTCAAATCATCCTTTATTGCAAATGCTTCATTTCTGAAAGGAATGTTGTTATTTTGCAAATTGCTTCTATCTGTATTTTTAGTTATGTGCAACATGTCTTAGATAAATCTGGTGACAGAAGCCGGAGTGATAGGATGTTTAATAGAATAAACTTTTAGTAAAATCATGATTTCATAGATTATTATGAATATATGAGTTTACTAATTCAAACTCTGCCTCCACTAGATTTTTTTCTGCTACCACAAAATATATCTACAGTATGTGTGTGCTGTTTTTTTTTTTAGGTCAGCACATGTAAACCAGCTCTGGGTCACAGTTTTGCAGCAGGAACGATAGACGGGGGAGGAGACTTGAATTTCACTCAAGGTGATTTTATTGTCGTCTTGCTCTCATTTAAATCTCATTATGAAACGTCGCCCTTTCCCCTCATTTGTGTGACTCTCGCTGCGCGTGAAGGCGCTGTGGAAGGAGACCCCTTCTGGGACGGGATCAGGGATGCTCTGGTGGGGCCGCCGTCCAACCAGACAAAGGAATGTCATCATCCCAAACCCATCCTCTTCAGCACAGGCGAGGTGAAACGTAGCAGAATTCAGATGACCAGACGCAGTATAAACAAATGATATTTGTGTTACTCAGTCATTTTGTGAACGCTCGCTCTTCTGTTCACTTAAGAGATCGAAAATGTGAAGCATTCTGAGCGTTATTGTGTTTTCGTGGCGCACAGATCAACTGGCCTCTGCCGTGGCATCCTCAGATTGTGGATGTTCAGATCATCACCGTCGGATCCGTGGCCGTTGTCGCCGTCCCTGGAGAAATGACGTAACGATGCTTTTTACCTCAGTTGACCATAAAGAAGCCAACTGCGAGCCACAAGTTTGTCGGTAGCACTGCTGCTTATATGCTCTTTATTTATGTGGTTGCTTCCACAGCACCATGTCAGGAAGGAGGCTGCGAGAAGCGGTCAAGAAAGTGAGCGCCGACATGGACGCAAATGTTTTTGCAGCTCCTTCTGTGGCTTTACGCTGAGGTCTTAACAGACGTTGTTGTTTATCAGGAGCTGACGTCGGTGAGCACCTTCAGGAACTCAGAGGTGGTGATTGCCGGACTTAGTAACGTCTACACTCACTACATAACCACGTATGAGGAGTACCAGGTATTTGATCAGTCGTCAGATGTGTCGTCTTAAAATCAGTCTGCCATGCAGACAAGATCGAGACAAAATGTGAACGATTCATAGCGGGGGGTCTAAATGAACCTAAATCAAGTGTTTAAGACACTAAGTCCTATTACGTCTTACATACGACTTCAGCAAATTTAGTTATCGGTGAGAGTTTTTTTGATTTTCTTTATGGCCTGATAGTTGTCTCTAGTTACTTTCTGATATAACCCAACACATTTCCACCCGTGTGTTGCAGGTGCAGCGATACGAAGGAGCGTCCACCATCTACGGTCCACACACACTCACCGCTTACCTGCACAAGTACCGTGAACTGGCCAAAGCCATCGCCCAGGTGTGGTCAGGCAGTGAATACGTTTGATGTGATTTTAAAAAACATTTAAATAAGTTTTTAGTTAGGGATGTTCTTCCTCATCACTGGTCAATTCTAACTGGTGAAGATACTGACGTTTTAAGTGATCAATGTTACAGTTAGGAGGACAGTGTATTTTTTTTAAACCGGTAAAGGGAAGAAATAAATAAATAAAAAAATCACCTCTCTAGATTGGATGTTAGGTTATCAGAAAAAAGCTGTGCAGTTTTTTTTTTTTTTTTTGAAAGAGTTTTTAAAAACTAAAATTTTGCAAAGAGTTGCTCTGACATCTGGATTTTACCAAGATTTTAGAAAATCACGAATGATTGAAAATCTCAGATGTTCGACGCTTTAATGACGAATATAAAAAAAAAAACGCATGAAACTCCTACGACTGCACAGATGTTTTTTGTGTTTTCAGGACAAAGTGTCAGAGCTGCCTGTTGGCCCTGAGCCTCCCTTCTTCACAAGCAACCTCTTTAACTTAATGGCTCCAGCAGCGGTGGACAGGAAGCCTGTGAACAGCAGCTTCGGAGACGTTCTGGAGCAAGTCCTTCCCGTCTACAGGCAGGTAGGAGTCCCTATATGCATTTATATGCAGATATATTTTTTTATGTACATATCTAAATTAAACTCTGCATCATTTTTTTTTTTAGGGTGACATCGTCTCAGTCACATTTGTAGCAGGAAATCCTCGACATTCAGGAGACATTGTAAGGAAAGAGTTTGTTTTTTTTTCTGCAGCAGACGCTGTTGATTTTTTACCTTTTTTGCAGAACTGTTGTGAGACTCTGTCTTCATCCTTACTACTTGTTTTTCTTTGTTGCAGAGAGACCAGACGTTTGTCACAGTGGAGATTTATGATAACAGAACAGAAAACTGGGAGGTTGTTTACAATGATGCGTCGTGGGAGACCAGGTAATGTAATATAAAAATAAAAAACATTTCAATGTTCTTAAACATGAACAGGATACTTAGCCGAAACTTGCGTCAGTGTAGTTTAGTGTGGTTTGTTAGTATTTTTTTTTTCCCATTTGTGACTTAATACTATAGGAGGTTTGGAAATGTTCCTTTTCAACAGTTTTGAGTTGGGACCTAGCAATTTCAGGCCACAAATTGCAAGAGAAAACCTTTTTATTTTTTTTGTAGGTGTACAAAGTTTGACCACGGCATGCTCTAAAACCAAACATATTTACTTTAGACCTGAGACTAAAGTTAGCCTCTGCTGTAACTTCTGCAGGTTTCACTGGCTAAAGGGCTCGAATCGACAGAACAACGCCACAGTCGAGTGGTTCATCCCCTCCTCCGCTCCTGCTGGCTCCTACAGGATCAGACACTTCGGACATTACAAAGAGCTGAAAGGCCTGAGTCCCGTCATCACGCCATACGAAGGCTCGTCCGACGTCTTCTCGGTCGGGTCCAGCTACTATCACTCACATGACCAGCCGGTCCACAACCACAACTCTTGATCGCAGAAGAACTTCCTCCATCGGGATCTCAGAAACGTTTGTTTGGATTTAAGGAATGAGACGCAACACATTTAGAAAAATAATATTTCTAAATAACAAATTATGAAATATAAATCCATTGCTTTGTGTATATTGGTAAGAATATTTTGTTGTCCTTGATTCTGTAGCATTTCCATTAAAACAAATGTAATTTTCTGTTTCTTTTATTGTCTCATTCCTATAATCTTGCGTTTTATGAGAACAATTTCTCTCCTCACATGTTTGTTCTGTTTGTCTTTGCAGATGTTTTATCCTATTATCTTTTTTTTTTTCTTTGTTAAAATCTCTCACTTATTCCTAAACCTCCGCTAAAAGATTTAACTCAATTAAAAATGACAAACTCACGTTTATAGCAAAAATATTTATTTTAAACTTGTCTGTATAGAAACGTCTCAGCCAGGCCAGGGTTATACATTACAGGAACAATAATAATCGTCACAGCAGCATGGATAAGGTCACTACAGCAACACTGACGTGCATTCGGCGGCTTCAGGAAGTCAGCAGACAACTAAACCTCGGTCAGGCAAAACACATTTCATCAGAGAAGTCGGGGGGGTTACAGGAGACTACCGAGGTTTCTTTGCACATAACGGAACCCACAAGCTCGATTATGATTATTTTACACATGCTTTTCCTCAACAACGGAGCACATTTTCATCGTTAAACGTGATGTTTTGTTTTTTCTTGTTAAGCCGGCTGTCGTATGATTGATTCATCGTCACAAACTGGGGGGAAAAACGGATTTGTTCTCCAGCTTCACTCGGCACGTAACTGTAAAAATGCATCACGGTTCGGTTCGGATCTACCGGCACACAGACGTTACTCGTGTGATGTTTGACATTTGAGCCCTGCAGCCTCTGGAAGCCCTTTTTTTTTTTTTTTTTTACATCTCGCACAGTCACAGATTATTTACAGATTATCCGTCGGCACTCTTATCCCGAACAACTGAAACTCCAATCCGTTCAAGATGTGGAAAACTAAATGTCACCGGAGCAACTAAACCCGTTTGCATATTGAGTTTTTGGGGTGAAAATGATTTTTCCCTTTTTTTTATATTTTTTTATTTAAAGTGCTTGGATGTATTAAAACATGAATCTCTGTTCATTCAGCAGTCGGATTAAACACTGAGCGATGGACGTCCTTCTGCGATTAAAGTGACGTCACAGGTACATCGATGATGCTGGGGCGGAGGATCCCTCCGATGTTTTCCTCTCAAAACCATTCTGACCCAACAGCGACAAACATTATATTTACATATAACCGAATGGCTAAAAATAATTCTAATATTTTGGTTCTACTTTATAATAGGAAGCAGCTCGTTCGGATTAAAAACAAATCATATTTCCTTCCCTAAACCGGAGCTAAAAAGCGGAACGGATTGTTCTCGTGTTTTGAGTCACAGCTTCATGTCAACGTCGTTAATACCACCGTGATTATTAAAGGCACAAATGTTAAAACTAGATTTCAAAAAATATAAATGTAAAAACTATTGTGGCTTCACAGTCAAGCTATTTCTCCAGTCTGTTGGAACGCAAACTGAATTTTGACTATAAACGGTAAATAACCGAAAATAACCTTATATGTTATTTACTGTTTTTAATTTTGAAGCAAAGCTATTAAAAATATATATATGTATATTTAAGTTAACACTTTTTTTATATATGTCTTTCTTTTCATTATTAATCTTTGTTTATCTGCTTTGAGAAAGTTGCTTTACCGATCCACTTTATTCCTGGATGCTGTGATAGATTGTTGAAAACTTCACTCAGTAACATTTTAGCATGTAAACAAGGCGTCTCTGTCAGAGCAAATAGTGATTAAAAACATGTGGGAACATCAGGCTTTTATACGTTAAACGTGATTTTTGAATTTGAATAACATTATCGTGCCAGTACCTTCAGGACTGGGGATGAACTCGAATGTAAAATAAAATTAAACATTTGTCCGTCTCTTCAGATTCTCTGCTACTGACGATCGCAGTGAAGGGGGAAAAAAAATTACTTAATATAGAATTCATTTGGTTATTTCAATGTTTTTAAGTGACTTAAGACATCAAGTTGTGCATTAGACTGTTTTTAGCGATCATTTCTAAAATAAGCAATATATGGTCAAGCTTTGTCAGATTAAATTTGTAACTATTGCCAAAAGTAGGCATGTTCAGACATGTCTGAGATTCAGTTGAGACGCGCTCGTTGGTGTGTGATTTTTGTTAAAATGTACAAAAATGAAGCATTTTGAAGCAGCTGCCATTATTGTGCCAGAAGTAACTAATGTAGTTAATCCTACAGCCAGGAATAAAGTGGACCTGATGATCTATTTTTTTAAAGGTTGGTCGTCTTCATGTGGTAAAATGAAAGCATCTCAGCCATCTGTGCAACTTTCCTCACAAATGAAAACGTGCTCAGACCCATTTATTTAAAAAAAATGAACGTCTGAGACTGAAGGAATGTTTGTTCGTATTAAACTGGGCCTAGACCGGAGCAGAAGTCACTCAGAGTGAAGTTTCGGTGTGCGGCCAAAGTCCGGACGTTTTGACTGATCAGCTTAACGGCAGTTTAAGAGGGAAGAGGGGGGGAGTGGCTCACGCCGGAAACGTCAAACACAAAGTCACACAGTTTCAGACATACGGACACACACAGGCGACACTTCAAACACACAAGAGGACAACCTTTTAAACATACTATGAACACGTTTTCCGTCGATCAAACGACAAACCGCATAAACTCTGCGAGTCTCTGACGCATGGAAGTTCTGTTAAGACGCTGTGGGATAAATGACGCCGTAAATGGATTTTGCACTTGTGCGATATGTTGAACTGATACTGAAGACAAATTAAAGTGAATACCTGAAAACATGTTTGAAACACGTCAGAAATGTGTGAGAAACATGTGGAAAACGGGTCAGAATCATTTCAGACGATGTGTCGAAACACTGCTATCTTGAAGATGTATTGTTACGGTCCTGTCTGACGTATGGCACTAATTTTCAACATCTGATTCAGTTTTTTTTTTTCATAGTTTACATCTGTTGTTTGCCTTCAGGGGGTTTGGGTGACATCCTGTTTGCTGAGCAGAACCTCCAGCAGCCGCAGTTTGGCTTTGAGCTGTTTGTATTCCTGGTATTCCTCCTTTATCGGAGTGCGGTCCTCCTTCTGGCAGACCCTGTTGGGAGAACCAGTCACTTCATAAGTTACACCATGTACGGCTGCTCGTTTAGTCAAAAACAAATCCCGATCAAATCACTTTTTAATGATTAAAAAGTAAAATTCTGGCAACCACTGCTGCTGGTATTTTACCGTAAATTAGAGACTTTTTCTTTGCTTTTGTTTTTGCAGTGCACACAGGTTTCACGTCACTTCAGCTGAGCTGAAAGGGGGAACTCCATCACTGATGACTCATCACAGACACGTTTACAAAGCTTTTGATTCATTTAGATCACATCCAGAAGTGAACAGAATCCTCAATACTTTGTTTCTTAAAGGGGGATTCTTCCACGTTTTCTGCACCAACAGAAGCTCTAGGACAAACGTTTTGCCAAGTTTCTTGTGACCAATCGGTACCGAAACATTGCAAAGTTTAACAATTGCAAATGTGTATTCCCTCATGATTTAGAACTGGTGCTGTTAGCTTAACGTACCGTCCGGTCTGGCGGTAAAACTCGTCCTCGAACTCCCTCAGAACTTTCCTCCTGATCTTCTTCTCAGCTCTGGTTTGCCGCAAACACTCCAACAGCTGAGACCTTAACCAGCGGGAGGACAGAAGGGTTAAAAGGCATTCGGCTCTGTTGTAGCGTAAAACATGAAGAACGCAGACGCTGTTGTTAAAGGCACACCTGGACGCTTCATGCAGGTTGGCCGTGGTGAGAGCGCCCTGCTGACGGACGGCTTTCACCTCGTCTATTGGGGACACGAAGGCCGGGTCGCTGTCCCGGTCGCTGTCCTCCTCGTTGGCGGCTGGCCACGTCGCTCTGCAAGAAGGCGGCACTAGAATGTCACTAACCACCGAGGAGGTCAGAGACTCTTCATCTGAGCCCTCCTCTTCCTCCTGTGGGACAGAAACAGAAAATGGATTAGGCTTCGGTGGTTTTGTCTTCGTAATTTAGACATTAAACTGATTTTCAGCTACATTTAAGCTTCAGTTAAGTAAAAGCTGAAATATATTTTTATTAAGAGCATCACCAGGACAGAATCTGCTTCTGATTCAAGTATTTTTTTCTAATTGAGAAAGAAGCAAAACTGGTCAAGAACAATTTGCGTGTGTGTGTTTGTTTCTCACTATGGTGGTGATGGTGGGACTGGCACACAGTAACCGTTTGATCATCTGGTAGCGGTCATAAAGAGGCTTCACCAGGTTCTTCTCCTGCTTCGTTCCCTGAAGGATAAAAAGGAGGTGATAAACCTCTGAAACCCTTTATGTTGACATGAGCTTTTCAACAGCATTTCTACACAAACTAAAGGGGAAAAAAGCCTCACTAATAAGGTTGTCCCGATCCAATATTGATATCAGAAATCGGTCCGATATAAGCCAAGAAAAAAAAAAACGAGTATCAGATTGTATCGGCATTTTAAATCTCCAATAAAACCATTAGAAGCACTCTGCTTCCACTCCAGACCGATTGTTTAATAATAACCAATACATAGTTGTTGGCTATTGTTTACTGTTTGATAAAGCCTTTTCTAGCATTCCTTATGACAAAATAACGAATATAAGTACATATGAATTGTGCTGATATAATATCGGGTCAATATCGATACATCAGAAATTTAAAAGTTGTATCGGGACTTCCCTGCCCATTAAGTATCTGAGATGAAGGTAAAGTTTCCACTGGGGCCTTACTGGTTGGCCGTGAACACTCTCAAAGTACAGCAAACATTTCTGCAGTGTGATCTTCTCCAGGACCATCTGTGCCTGCGTCATTTCCTGTACACCGACATGAGCAGACAGGAAGTCAAAGCGGAGCTCAGGCTCAGCTCACAGGAGCACCTCAGACAGCCGTCACAGCGAACACAAACCTTCATGTTGTCAGGGAGACCCAGAGACTGTCTCTTTTCTCTCAGCCGCCTGAACAGAGACTCCACAGTTTCCTCTAGAGATGGTTTGTGGTCCGACGCCCCCTGCTGGCCGGAACCCGATCTGCAGATTAAGTGTAAAGAACCCAGATGAACATATTATTGCTCTAATTAATTAATTTAGCTATGTAAATCCTGACACTTCTAAGGGTCTTCAAACAATGAATGGATGAAATTGTATGGAATATTACCTGCATGTTTCGCTGGATTCCTGCTCCTTTGACTCAAACACCGACTGTCGAAGCCTCAACTCTGCGGAGGACACACATTCAGAACAACCTCAAAAACAAGGTGAGTAACATTTACATTAAAAATGGAACTGAACCAACTGTTTATGGCATTTGCTGCAGAGAAAACAGAAGATATTATAGCAAGACCAATTAAATACCTAACATGTGGTTTGTTGTTTTTTATTAGTCTTTTTCATATTTGTTCGAACTGCAGCAGATTTGTTGTAGTAATTGAGAAAAATCTAACTTCAAATCAGTTTCTTTTTTTTTTTTTTTTTTTTTAATAAGCTGGGACAGATCTTTGTTGCATTTTTTACCTTTAAGTTGTTTGCGAGCTTTTGCCAGCTCACTCATCACTCTGATCATCTCCGGGTTTGAGTATTTATCGTTGTGGGACGGCTGAAAAAAAACAAACACAAAACAGACGACGATTCAGATTAACTAAAGAATTCAAAACCATTTAAAATAAATCATAACAACAAATATCCACAGAAATATCTAGTCAAATACTAGACTTTACATATCAGTAGACAGTTGAAGTTTTGGGAAGTTGTCCGGGGCGGCATTCAGAAGAGGGGCGTGAATAAGCACCATAGCATACAACTTATCTGACTATTACGACGTGAACAAGTTTCTAATGCTTTTATACACATGCAGTAAACGGGGAGTTTCTGTCTCTCACGTGTGTTGAGCAGGTTTTCCTCAGCTTTCTACTCAGAACGGGAAGATTAGCTCTCATGCTAATCTTAGATGCTGTCTGCTGAGATCTCCTGCCCTTTAAAACCATCTTAAAAGTTCAGATTATTTGTATGAATTTTAAGTTGTTGAGAAGGGTAAAGTCACTGGCTATTTTTGTGGATTATATTCTGAATATATAAACACACAGCTGGAAATCATGCGTTTTCCTGTTGTTCTACTCCACGGTGATATCCAAATATATCCCATAAATAAAGCGAAAATAGGAAGAGAAAAAGAAGCCGCATTTGAAGCCTTTAAACTGATTTAGGCGGCCGTTACGTCATCACGCGAGAGGGGAAGTGCAGATTTACCTTGTAGTTCATTTCCTGCTCAAACTGATCCTCAAACCTGCGAACCCTCTTCTTCAGGCTCTGAATGTGTCGGGTGAGGAAAGGGATGGACGCTGGACACTCGTCCTCTGAAACCTCAGTCCTGTCCCCGAGACTCCTGCACCTGCATAGAGGAACGTAAGGGTTCAGCTTCGCTAGTTTTCATCTGTCTGCTGAACATAAACTACAAACCAGGGCCTCAGTGAAATTCAAACTTGATATTATGTGTCAGTTTTTACTCATTTCTGCTTAGCATCAACGCTCAGAGCCGTACCCATAATCAGGGAGTCAATTCTTAAAAATGCCTGAATAATGTGGAAAATCCAACCTTCCATATCGCCGTCAAATTCGGTGATATGGCAAGAGAGAGAGAGAGAGAGAGAGAGAGAGAGAGAGAGAGAGTCTAGTGAGACATCAAACCACAATCTGGGTCATGGACACATTTTGACCCCCTGCCTCAAGCTTTGGCTCTAAAGATAAAATAATGGATGGATTATGTAAGATGCATTAAAAAGGGAGACACAAGGTTAGAATAAAATCAACTCATCAGGACAGAAAGAAAAAAACAGTCTCACTAGAGTTCACTCAACATGCTCTGCTTGTTTTTTATAAATCTTGTGATAGTATGTCGGAAGGAAAATTCTTTATGTCTGACAATAACCAAAAGACATTCATATAACCAGTCCCACACTGTGTCTCTGCCTATTACTATGAATGAACATTCAGAGGAGCCTAAAATGGATACAAAAAAAAAATCTACATTTTCCCATTAAAATGTTGATTATTTTCTGATGGCAAAAAAGAAGAGATCAAAATAAATCACCGCAGAACTTTCTCCACCTGCAATGTTGACCTGTAACCCATCAACCCAACTGAAAAACACAAAAGCACTAATGAAGTAAAAAATGAATTCATGTGGTTGCATAAGAATGCACACTGTCTAATATTTGGGGAGCTGTTAGAAAGCTGGATATTAAAAGAAATGTCATCTTACAGCACAATGTATTCACCAGGAGCAGATTGAAGTTTTGGAACCGTCCTGCCCGATCCCAGACCTGACTCTGTGGACTGACAAATTAGAACCACTACAGAACCAAATACCAAGGAATATTAGTGTAAATGAGTCCAAATAGGGTTCCCGAAGAAACAAAACAAAAGCCACGTCAAGATATCCACCGCCAGATTGGTAATGTCAAGTGAAAACCACCAGCAAATTCCCACATCTACAACTGTTGTGGTCAAAACCCAGATTTGATTTAAAGCCAACAACATGCTCGTCTAGAGCTGCACAGGAGAAATAAAACTCAATTTTACTCCTCATCAATCAAACACCCAGTCTCATATCGAGACACGGTATCAACAGGTGCCACAGCTTGCTGTTGAAGTCTAGTCCTACTACTCTTAAACCCAGACCTACATTGTACCAAAATCTGGACACATATTGTCCAACTCAAAAGAAAACCGTCAACAACTACACCTGTAAAAACATAAAAGAACTACTGGGCTCCAATTCTAGACTCAAAGAAGACCGATAAAATCAGAGCCATCTTTGGACCAACACATCCCATTTCAGTGGTAAATCATCTGAAACATATTTAGACTAAAACTGGACGGATGTCAAGGTTCAAAAGTCACAACCCAGGTCTGTGAAATTCCTGAAACTGAAACTATTTCAGGACTAATCGCAAACTAGTTCAAAATCAACTCCCTCAGTATGTTTGACTGAGTCATAGCTGATGACAGGATGTGATCCAACATGTCCAGAATCCAGAAGCCGTCGATTCCAGTGAATCGATGCCGTCCTGTTCCTCAGAGGCAGCTCTCTATGTCAAATTTGTTTAAAATGCTCCAACACACCCGATTCAAATGACTGAATCCCTTTTTTAATTTCTGCAGAGACCTGCATCAAACTCAAGTCCTCCACGGACATGTTTTGACAACATTCAGGTGTGTCCCGGTTCAGCACACCTCCATCAAGCAGCTGGATTTTCTCATCCAAAGAAATGCACCACATCTACCCTTGAGGACTGGAGTTTGATACCCGCATTTTTAACCAAGGTTAACGTCTCAACGCTACGCTTCGGATGCTCACAGCATGTACTGCTGGCTGCAGGGTGGCGATGGAGCCGTATCTGGGTCGGAGTTGAACCTCAGGCTGGGGCTGCAGCAGCGTGGGGAGGGGAGGGGACTGGGGAGGCCTGCCAACAGCTGGAGGAGAGCTCCTCCTCCTCCTCCTCCCCCCTCCGATCCGTCTCCTCCTCCTCCAATCTCACCCCCAGGGCTGCTCCTCTGTGGGGAGTGATGAGGACTGGGGGACAATGTCCCATCGGACACCAGGGGCTGCTGGCTGAGGTGGATGGAAGCTAACGGCTGGTGTCTTGGGGGCTGTGAAGGTCTGGTCAGGACAGTCAGGAGCTCTGGTGAAAACAAACGACAAATTAATGGACATAATGGCCCATTTCTCATGCATATTTCATGGGATCACATCAGCTCGCCAACATTTTCAGCAATTAGCTAGTTGTAAAGATGCTCCTGCTGCGGGAGCCGATCCTGCGTTGTCTCCGATTCCACTTTAAATTCTCAGCAAATGCTAACAGAGCGAAGCTTCGGTGAAGCACGCAGTTTGAGTGAGAGTCGAGGAGCTGAAGGAGGTCAGTGTGCTTCACAGAGTTTTTTACTTCGGTGGCTATAAATAGCTGATTGCTGAAGGGAGGTGGGAGAATGAAAACACACACACACACCCACGCACACACACACTCTGCGAGAGGCTGGAAGGAGCTGATTCATCAGAAACCCAGAGACAAAAACCTGAAAACAGTTTACAAGGAGCTTAAGAGGAACATCTGACCTGCACAGAGACAGACAGGTGGGGGCAGGAAGAGAAAGACGAGGACAAGAAACAGACAGGTGAGGACAGAGACAGACCAGGTGTACCTGGAGGGTGGTTCTCATCTGTTGGGGCTCTGTGGCAGAGAGCTGTCGTCCTCCCGTCCTTCCCCCCCAACTCGACGGGGACACAGGGGCTCTTCCCCTCCTTGCTGCCCAGGGCAGGGGGGCTCTCCTCTGGGGACGTCCCCTGCGAGGACCCTCCCTCCACATCCAGAGCCTGGAGCTTAAGCAGGGAACTCTGCAGGCAGAAGCAAAACATGCCGACACACTGATAAACCAGGTCCTAAGAGGAGTGTGTCCAACACGGACAGCAGTGAGTCCCGTCACTGAGATGGATCCAGATATTAGCCCACTCTCTGTCCCTGGATGGTTACATGTTGAGGGGGCAGGACGATGTGCTGGTTGCTTCTTGGTGTATGATCATGTCCTCCAAACGAAAGGATGACTCACTCAGCGTTTAATCCACCAATTTGCCTCATCCCTGTGGGTCAGCCAGATGCAAGGAGGTTAAATATGAATCCTTCCCTCTCTCAGCGGTGCAGTCCAGGTGTTTCAGTGAAATCCGGCTGCCGTAGATGATGTTCTCCTGATTCCTTCCTCCTGCGCAGGCAGTGAGTGCTCAGGAATTAGCCTGCTCCGATCAGTCTCAGCTCAGCAGGACGGTTTTTTGAATTCTCAGCCTGTCGTTTTGCACGTTCACTGATGATGATGATGGTGATGATGCAATGGTCTCCTCCCTTCCTCCCCCTCTCTCTCCCTCACTGTGCGCGCACCTCTCTCGTCTCCCCTCCCTCACTGGCTGGATTACTCATCCTCAGTCTTGAGAGGAAGAGGAGGGGGCTGGGAGGAGGAGGAGGAGGATGGAGATGTTTGCCTCCGTCAGGATTAGAGACGTGTGGGGGACCGTCTCTCTATCTGATTGTGAGGTTTTTCCCGCATCAGAGAGGGAGGGCCCTGCCTGCTGACATCATCATCTCATTCATAAAAGCGCAGGATGAAGGAGAAAGAGGAGAAGGAGGAGGAGGAGGGACGTCCTTCTCCTTAGACCCAGTGAACGCTGCTGCCTCACAGAGAGACGCACACAAAACATCCTCCTCTTTTTCAACAGACAAAGATTGATGGAGTATCCAAGAAAGTACTTCAGCCACAGTAAGCAAGTATTTGGGACAAGAGCTTCTGAAGTACTGAGAAGATGATGAAAACGTCAATCGTTTAATATTTCAAAATTGCATCATCAGACGTTTCGGACAGACCGAAGTGTAGTTATGTTGAGATTTTGTTCTTTTCAAGACCAAAATAACAGTATTTAGAAAAAAAAAAAATCATGACTTTTCCACGAGCTCCAATATAATTTTCCATGATCCATGTACAAGTTCAGAAAGAAAAGTGTATGACTGAAAGACTAACTGCACAAAGTTGAATTATAGCGAACATGTAAAAGTGTAGTGCAGGCAGACAGGGAGGAAATATAAATGACAAATGTGAAAAATCAAGCCCACACAGACAGGTATGAGTTGAAAAATGTCAATGTATTAACTGAGGAATCATATGACGACAATGCCAATTACATACACAAAACATATTAGCAGTAATGCAAACAAAATATTGTACATGTATGTAGAAATAACTGCTTCTACAAAAGTTCAGAACAGACAGGTGAGGCACACAGGCCACGTTAGCGTAGTAGTCGATATAAACTGATAATGTTTTGTGTTTTTTGTGTTATTTACTTGTTATATTCTTGGGGTTACATCAGAAAGATTTCATCATTTTGGTTATAAAAATAGGGAGTATATTACTCATCACCAGTCACAGTTGTTTCCTGTGTTTAATGTTGACAATTTTCCAAAATAAAGTGAGTTGATTGATTAATTGACAGTTTGACATAGCGCCAATAGGGGGCAGTATCTCTCCAACCAATGCTAAAGATGACCGTTGCTAGGGGGCCTTAACAAGTGTTATCTCAGGGCTGAGTATGTGGGGGCCTTAATACGCATGTGTATAACCACCGTGGAGCGATACTTCTGAGTTATTTTGTGTTTCTGGTGATATTAATAATATATTCTATGTTATGTTATTGGGCTCTGTTAAGTATTAATTACCATTAATTACAACATTGAGTTCCTTATTGGTATTGTTTCAGTTACTTGAACATTACTTTTACGATGCTGATGTTTTAGAAAACTGTGCAGTGGTCTCTTAACTATTTCCAGAGCTGTATAAATATACATATTACAGTAAAAACTCGTGGCAGGGAAACTAGAGGCACCAAACAAAATTGTTGAAATACTGACATCTGGTGGTCAGAAGCAAGAAGTACAAGCAAGATCGTTGGGAAAACAAAATACGTACTTTCTTTTTTCCATATTATCAATGGACTTCACTATTCCATTCTAAAATCAAGATTTAGAGGAACAAACTGAATATTTATCAAAAACTGACTTTTATGTGCTCTATTTTTCCTGTCCTTTTCCCACTTCCATTCGCCATCGAACATTTAATATTTAATAGTATTCGTTTTATTTGGTAATGCTAATTAAAAGAACTGGTAATTATAAACTAATAACTAATGCCATTAGTTAGTATAACTCATGTGTTCATTAGTTATTATTTTAGACATTGATAAAGTGACAGTAAATATTGCATTTTTGAGTCCTCTGTTCATTGCCCAGAAATGGAAATACTTTGAGACTCTTAACTATATGATTACAAAAGATAAATGATAACAATAACTAGAAAATTTCTGAAGAAAATTAAACAGGGCCTTCCAAAGTGTGTCAGTTGGAACCCAGCGTTTTGATGCTAAAAATTAGCATAAATGCCAAAGTAAGCTACAATGTACTCAGTAGCATGTGGAGAGTCATAGCATATTGAGTGACATGGATTTACTCCATTCAGTATGTTAAAATTAGTGTACAAGCTAAAATTAGCCAAAATGCTAATGTTAGCCTAAATGCTACCAGTGGCATGTCTGGTATAACTAGCATTGACTTCCTCCATTCAGTGTGCTAAACATGGCTAATAAATAAATTTAAAAAAAAGTTAAAAACTTGTTTTAGGGAAAAGGTGCTGTCTAATGTTTGTGCTATTGTTAAAAAACAAAAGTAAAAGTCAGGTATTTCGTGGCACTAGGTCAACAGAAAACACGCTCTCTTAGCAACAGATTAACAACAAATATTATTGTTCAAAAAACATGACATTTCCCCTGCTCTTTTGAAATACTACTTAAAAATTGTGCAGTTGGTATATATATATATATATATATATATATATATATATATATATATATATATATATATATATATAGATCGTGGCCCGAATGAACACCAGACCCGTGTTCACTGCCCTCCATGAGCGACTGGCAGTTCAACTGAACCAGCTACAGAATGGGACTCATGGAAGCTCATGTCAGGCATCATAGCAGCTAAGATAAGCGGGCACATGGATAAATACATGAACACGGCATGTATTTATCGATGAC